TCATTCTCGCTCTCACTCTCTCTCTCTCTCTCTCTCTCTCTCTCTCTCTCTCTCTCTCTCTCTCTCTCTCTCTCTCTCTCTCTCTCTCTCTCTCTCTCGTTCTCTCTCTACTCGGTTTCTTCTATGCCGAAATGCTCTCTTGCGTTTCCTGTACAAGAGATACGTTAGGCTAGCTGCTGATCGTTGCCTCGATCCGCTCTTGCGTTCTAAGCCACCTAGTCTTCACGCGAGCGCATTGTCAGCAACATTGTCTGAGGGTGCAGTTGTGCCGCGATGTTCTTAGACGTATGCGTCATGGCTGTTCTTCCCGTACCACTCCATGGACCTCCTTCCTTCACTTGCCCTCTTTGACTAACGCTGCGTTTCACTTCCGTCCAAGTCTCATCCCCCACCCTCCTCCGTCGTTCTCTCCCGGTCCCCCCGTCCTTCGTCCGTCATCAGCTTACTTTCATTAAACGACAGCTGACCGCGCGAGCAGCAGTGCGCGGATGCGGAGCCAGCGGAGTACCCTTAGCCTTTGCTGAACGTCCCATCCGTCGGCGTGCTGCGGTCGAAACTCTTCCGTGTCTCCGCAGTGCGCGGATGTTGAAGCAGCGGACGCGCGGACGGCGATGGAGATAGGGGCGCCCTTCGACGTGAAGCACGTGGTCCACGTCACCTTCGACCGTTACAAGGGCTTCATCGGCCTACCAGATGAACTTCTCGCCCATGTCGACGCCGTTCCGCCTAGCGCCAGGTGCGTTGCTTCTCTCGCTCCCTACGGCTCTTCGTTCGTGGTGTCGGTTTTTGAGTTGACTCACACATAGGCTCATCACCAGCGTCTCTTCGTTCTTTGTTGTCGCCAGTCTCCTTGCTCGCCTTTGTCACGACTCAGCTCTTCGGCCCTTTCCCGTCCATACATTTGCGTCGAGTTCTCTTCTTTCTACTTGTCTGATTTTGTTTTGTTTCTTTTGTTCTTCCGGACACGCTGAAGCGCAGACCGGACACATGTTAGGCGATATTCTGGACGTTTTTAGGCGCATAGAGGCAGTGGCTTGCAAAGCTGTTACGACAGGGTTTTTGTGCCTCGAAATGCTCCCTCATGGTCCGATCCGCTTTCCCCCACTCCTCCCCCCTCCCCCTCCCTTCTCCCCCCGGCCCCCTTCCTCCCCGTTACCGACTATTTTTGTCCCACAAACCCGTTTTTTATTTTATCTACACGTGCCGCGTTCAACGGTGCAGTTTGTCGGTGTTCGGCGTGCGGCCCGTGGCGATGCACTACTCGGTGGACGCGCACGGCACGAGCGTGCCGTCCATTCTGCTGCTGCTGCAGTCGCGACTCTACCAGCTCCACGGCCTCTCTGTAATCCCCACACGCCCTCACGCGCGCACGCGCGCGCACGCGCGCGCACGCGCACACACAAACTCTGCGTTCGCGTCTCCGCGCCACTCGCATATTCGACGTGCCTTTGCCCTCTTCTGGAACTGTCTCTTCTTCCCTCCCCCCCCCCCCCCCCCCCCCCCCCCCCCCGCCCCCGCCTGGTCGTTCGCCCACGTCTCCGCTCCCCCCGTTCCACTTCCCGCTCACCCTCCCGCTCACTCTTCCCTTCCCCCCCTTCTCCCCCCTTTCCCCTTCCCCCCGCGCGCGCGCGTAGGTGGAGGGAATTTTCCGCATTGCGGCGCAGATGGAGGACGAGGACGGCGTGCGGTCGCAGCTGAGCTCGGGCGTGCTTCCGCCCAACCTCGACGTTCACAGCCTCGCCGGACTCATCAAGGTGTGCGGGGGAGAGTGGAAGGGGGGGGGGGGGGGGGGGGATGTAGAGAGGGAAGGACGGGGGAGGTGGGCCGGGTTTGGCTCGTGCACCTGCGAATGCTGGTGGACACGCCAACTCACAGGCGCATTATCGCACTGACGCAAAGTTGCAGAGTGCACAGCTACTCTTGATTCCGTGCGGATTCCGCAGTGCTCAGTCTCCTAGACGCATGTGGAGATGTTATATATGGTTGCGCATGGTCACTGCTGTGTAGCATGGCGGCTACATTCTCCCTGACTTCCCCCACCATGCGCCATGCACCACCCCCCCGCATCCGTCTGCACCACTCTGCGCAGGCGTGGTTCCGCGAGCTACCAGAGGGGCTATTAGATCTGTTCACGCCGAACCAGGTGGCGGGGGCGACGGAGGAGGCGGCGGCGACCGCGCTGGCGGAGACCCTACCGGCCATCCACCGCGAGTTGTTAGACTGGGTGATTAATCTCATGGCGGACGTGGTGGAGCACGAGGCGGAGAACAAGATGAACGCGCGGAATATCGCGCTCGTCTTTGCGCCCAACATGACCCAGGTGAGGGGATGATGGCTGTGTGTGTGTGTGCGTGCGTGGGGCTTAGGGAGGAATGAATGCGCGCGCGCGGGCGCTTTCGCGCGACGTGAGGCAGAGATGTCGCTGAGATGCGCTGCTTTTGTGTATGGTGAACAGCGGGATTGCAGGTGCTCTAGTGAGGACAATTTGGGCAGGGAAAATTTTTGTATTTATTTTTTCTGATACTACTTCTTTCCTCTCTTTTTCCCCCTGTCATATTCTTCGCACACACCCCCGCCACCACTCACCTTGCTTTCACGGCACTTGTCCTCGTCCTTGCGTGTTGCGTGGCGTGGCGTGGCGTGCAGGTGATCGACCCCATGATAGGGCTACAGCACGCTGTGCGGGTAATGGAGTTCCTGAGAGCGCTGGTGGAGAAGCGGAGGAACGAGCGGGCGGCCATGGGCGGGTCTTTGCCAGAGCTCACACGAGCAGGCGCGGACTCGACAGGGGCGGAGGGGGCAGGGGGTCAGGGCGGGTGAAGAATCGGTGCTGTTTAGAGGCAGGAAGATAAGATGTATTCGGATCATGTGGGTTGGGAATGCGGTGGACGGAGGAGTATGTATTGCTGGAGGAGCGGATGGGGTAGGCTTGAGAAGGGGCAGGGGACAGGCAGTGGTTTGGAAGAGCTTCACCATGGGGGGATGAGGGCAAAGGGCGAGGGAGGCCCATTAGGAGGAGAAAGTGCTGGGAGAAAGGGACAGAAGGAGTTGGTGATTGATGCGTATAAGGTGGTGTTTGTGCAAGGATATAGGAGCCAGTGCTTTCAGCAGCAGCAGTTGACAGTTGTAACAGTGTAGCTATAGGTGTATGGACAGTGGAGCAGGGCAGGGCAGCGACCTGGGGGCTCTGGATGGAAGATTTGGTCTGATTATTGCTTCATTGCTGCAGCGGACAGCAGGGAAAAAGTCTGCCTGCTGCATCTTCTTGGGGTGCTTAGTGACTGCTATCACCTGCCGCTATTGCTGCTCCTGCTCCTGCTCCTGCTCCTGCTCCTGCTCATGTGCCTGCTCCTGCTGCTCAAGGGCTGTGCTGTCTGCTTTACCCAGTCTTTAGCAAACAGGCAAGGTTACAAACGGCTTGGGAACAGCATTGCAGCGATAGATCTACGGTATTGGACGTGAGTGACAGGTGCCGTGGGATTTCCAGCCCGGACCAGAAGCTCGATGAGTCAGGACACATGACCTCGCTTCATGCTTGAGAAGGTTATTTGTTTTTTAATTGTTTCGTAGGAACAGCATTAGTCTAGAAACGCATTAGAAGCTGGGGAAATTGGGACTGATTGAGGGTAAAGAGATCTTAGAGGGAAATCTCCTGCTTCTGCAAAGCAGATGGAATTGGTTTGTCGTAGCAGCATGCCAAGCGTAGGATGCTGCTTGCATTGCACTCTTCAGTGATGGTTGGATTCCTCTGCAGTCTTTATCAAACCCAACCCTACCCAGGGTAGATATACCGGAAGGAAATTACATGGTTGTGGTTCTCAATCACATACGGTACATGCTAAACCCTAGCTAGGGAGAATGCCATACCGTCATCGCCCGGATATAAGACTGTCGAATTGAAGCCGGGGTGTCGTTAAAACGGGTGTGTCTTATAAGACAACTGCCGGTGTGTACGAGTTAAGCTAGTGTAGGGGTTAGGGGTGCCGGTAATCTTATGACGAGGGGGTGCCTTCTAAATGGTTCTTTGTCCATTTATAAGAAATGAAATTTTTTGAAAGTGTGTAACACTTTCTAAAAATGTGTATTTTGAAAGCGAAGCTGCTTGTAATGCAGCAATGGCAACGGCGAAGTGCTAGACGCTCTTCGCCAACTATATAGCAGGGGGTGGAGGCCATTTGGCCTCCACCCACGTCTTCGTTTGAAATTTCAAATGTCTTATTTCATTCTCGTCCGACGACTTCCCGTTCTCCTCAGTCGCTCACTTCTCTCTTAAAATAGTAGGCATTAACTAGATTGACATAGCACAACACACGTTTCAGAAATGTCTTGCGGGTACACCCGTCCGCACGATAGGCGCGCACGTCGAGGCTAATAAAGCGACAGCGCCACTGGCGCACGTGGCGACGAAATCGCCACAGGCGCGCGTGGCGACGAAATCGCCACAGGCGCGCGTGGCGACGAAATCGCCACAGGCGCGCGTGGCGACGAAATTGCCACAGGCGCTCGTGGCGACGAAATCGCCACAGGCGCGCGTGGCGACGAAACCGCCACAGGCGCGCGTGGCGACGAAATCGCCACAGGCGCGCGTGGTGAAATCGCCAGTGGCGCACGTGGAGTCAAAATCGCCAGCGGCGCAAGTGGCGCCAGTGGCGCTCATGGCGCCGAAATGGTCAACATCGCCACTGCCGCATGTGGCTACGAAATCGCCAGTGGCGTGCAAGAACCCAGGGGCGCGTCCAGCGGAAGTGGGTACCAGCAGGCATGATGGCGAAATCTCCAGAAGGCGAGATTCCAGTGGCGCGCCAGAGACAAACTGGCGGCAGATGCGCTTCTGATGTTGAAATTTGCCAACGAATAAATTATTACTTTGCATATGTTCCCACCTCTTCTTCATTCCTATCTTCGATTCTTGTTCGTCTGCGTTTTTCTCTCATGCTATTTCTTATTTTTTATCGCAGTAAATCGGTGCGAGGCAACTACCTTTGGGTCGCCATGAGAGACTACCGGCGAAGAAAGACTGCGGCAAAACATTTGGCACAACCCATGCGCTCCCGTGGGAGATTGGGACCGGGGGCCTCGCGCCAGCCGGAAACGGACCTGTGGGTCCTGTGCGGTGCTGGCCAGCGAGCTCCCCAGGGGGGAGAAGGACCGGTGGGTCCTGTGCGGTGCTGGCCAGCGAGCTCCCCAGGGGGACCGGTGGGTCCTGTGCGGTGCTGGCCAGCGAGCTCCCCAGGGGGGAGGAGGACCGGTGGGTCCTGTGCGGTGCTGGCCAGCGAGCTCACCAGGGGGGAGGAGGCCCGGTGGGTCCTGTGCGGTGCTGGCCAGCGAGCTCCCCAGGGGGGAGGAGGACCGGTGGGTCCTGTGCGGTGCTGGCCAGCGAGCTCACCAGGGGGGAGGAGGCCCGGTGGGTCCTGTGCGGTGCTGGCCAGCGAGCTCCCCAGGGGGGAGGAGGACCGGTGGGTCCTGTGCGGTGCTGGCCAGCGAGCTCCCCAGGGGGGAGGAGGACCGGTGGGTCCTGTGCGGTGCTGGCCAGCGAGCTCACCAGGGGGGAGGAGGCCCGGTGGGTCCTGTGCGGTGCTGGCCAGCGAGCTCCCCAGGGGGGAGGAGGACCGGTGGGTCCTGTGCGGTGCTGGCCAGCGAGCTCCCCAGGGGGGAGGAGGACCGGTGGGTCCTGTGCGGTGCTGGCCAGCGAGCTCCCCAGGGGGGAGGAGGGCCGGTGGGTCCTGTGCGGTGCTGGCCAGCGAGCTCCCCAGGAGGGAGGAGGACCGGTGGGTCCTGTGCGGTGCTGGCCAGCGAGCTCCCCAGGGGGGAGGAGGACCGGTGGGTCCCTTTCTGGCTCGTGAGTTTAGTTATATATTGGTCAAATACCAGGGCTAAAGCCCAAAGTGCAAGGTTTGGACGCGATCACATTTGAGTTGGCTGGTTGAACAAAATTTTGGTGAGTTTGAAATGGTGCACAACTATAGCAGATGAGTAAGAATACCAAGGGCTTAAACCTTGACAGATTTACCGTACCCGGATACAAGTTGCATGCACGCTTCGTAATGTGAGCACGGTTGTGACCGCAACAAGGGTTGGGCTCCTACAAGCATCACATCCATCATTACACAGAATACTAACGCCCGCTGCCCGTGTCCTCCCATACTGCTTGCGAGTTCGTGTCCGAAGCTCACGTGTGAGCCAACGCTTATAAGTAACCACTACTGTGCTACACTCACTTAGGGCGACACTCCAATGCAACAGCAGAGAATACTGCACCTCGATCAACATCGGTGCCAGCCTTCTTCTTCGCGCATGATTGGAACTCCACCGACATGTCGTCGCATAAACCATCAACAACCTTTACTGTCTCCGCAGCATCTCCCCGTCTCATGTCTCAGAAGACCCATTTGAAACGAAGCTCGTTGCCATTGCAAACACAAGAAAGCAAGCTTTCTAAATATGAAATTTTTTGAAAGTGTGTAACACTTTCAAAAAATGTGTATTTTGAAAGCGAAGCTGCTTGTAATGCAGCAATGGCAACGGCGAAGTGCTAGACGTTCTTCGCCAACTATATAGCAGGGGGTGGAGGCCATTTGGCCTCCACCCACGTCTTCGTTTGAAATTTCAAATGTCTTATTTCCCACCCACCCACCCTAGCAAAAATTGCATGTTGTCATGTGTAATGTAGGTACCATATATATCCCGGACGAGAATGATGTAATGCCCATTTGAAACGAAGCTCGTTGCCATTGCAAACACAAGAAAGCAAGCTTTCTAAATTTGTAAGACACCCTAAACCACCCCAACTACAAGGCAACCCAAGCATTAAGATAGTAGACAGTGGTGGTACTCCAGATGTAAGCAGTGGTGCTTAGGGTGCATTCCTGCCTTGACACTTGTGTCTCAATCCCCGTTTTCCCGAGTCGCGTCGAAACATTTTGTCAATCTCGCGTCACAAAAGATGAATGTATCACGACACTAGGCGACCAGGCGAAATGCACAAATCTGCGCATTTGATTGGGTGAAACGAATGGTTGTACACCGGTTTCTTCAATCGTTTGGCCGGCATTTTGTTTGTGATGCGCGGGATTTTTTTCCCCGCGAATTTCGCTGTGCAGGCGTCCAGATGCATTGACATTTCGAACCGCATGCGATTTTGTATGAATGTTGCGTCGGTTTACAATTCGTCAGCGACGTCAGCGCGTTTCACGCTGACCAATGAAAAATACAGTAGCAGTCGCTGAAATCCGACTCGCAATTGGGACACACTACAGTTTATGCTGTTTTTGGGTGTCACAAAGCGATTGAGACATTTGTGTCAAGGCAGGAATGCACCCTTACATGTGATGTAATCTGTTATAGACTGCACTGTAGCTGACATGCAGAAAGCTTGACCTCACAAACTTGTATTCGCAAATGCACATCTGCTGGATAAGAAACACCCAACTTGCCTAAGGCGCAGGCTATTCCAACGTCTAGTGGTTGAAGTAAACATCTACCATACCATTCTGTATTGTCATGCTGTCTCAAACAGCTTCACATTCACAATTTGCCTGCACACTTGCTCTGCACCTCTGAACATCAACGATCTCTGAAACGGTTCATGAAGATCACCTCTTTGACTTGCCTCCTCGCTGCTTCTTCCCTCCCTTGCCACCACCCCCACCATCCTTCCCTCCACTGCGACCCGCTCCCTTCTTCCCCTTCCCTTTTCCTCCTCCAGGCTCCTGCACACCGCTGCTTCCCTCTTGCTTCACCGTCCCGCTCCCACCCTTGCCAGGCCCAGCCTGTGCGCCTGCCCTTTGTTTCTCTGGTGGGTGCAGCAGCTGCTTGAGTGGCTGCTCGAGGGGCTTATGATGGGAGAGGAGGTCGGCAAGAGGGGATATGGCAGAGCTGTGAAGCCAATGCACAGAGGCAGAGGCATGGCCGGAATGCCTGTGGGAGGAAGGTGTGGGGTTGGGCGCGGTAAAAACAGGATGTATTGGGTTGTGGTGGAGGTGAATCAACAAGATGAGTAAGAGAGGATGATGCAGGACAGCATAGGGGAAGGATGAGGACGAGGATGACGATGGGGAAAGGATGAGAATGCAAACATACGAGTGGTGGACGACACTGTTAGCTGCTCCAAGCGACTCTGCTGCATCCAAAGCCTCTTCCAGAAGCTCCTCATTCTTCTCCGCCTCCTCCTCCGACCATCCTCGCCCCTGCCCTTTCCGCTGCTGCTGGCCCTGCCCTGTGCCCGAGCCCTCCTGCTGCAGTAGCTGCTTCAGCTGCCGCACCCCCTCGTGAATCAGGGCCAGAAACGCATCTGCCTCAACCTGTGATGGTGACACAGAATCATTGGCAGTGAGTAGACAGCATGGTGTGCGATCAAGGCGGCGACAACGCAGGACAAAAAATCTGGGGATCTAGGAGGAGGAAAGCCAGCAGCGGCTGTTGAGCTGCTGGGTGTACAGAACATGAGCAGTACCCTGCTTTCTTCAGTAAGATACAACGACAGCACATGGTCAACAAGAAACACAAGGGCATGTGGAAGAACCTTCAGCTTGCAATAGAGTCGACGTATTCCATGTGGAGAAAGCAAAAAAGAAAGAAGAACTAATCCTGGAAAGCAGTGAGAAAAACATACCTTGACAGGGCACGCATGCTCCTCATACTCCTTGAGATAGAAGGCCCGCTCAATTGCACTGACGGACTCAAGCCTGGCTGTCAGCGCCCTCCGTGCCTCCCTGCTGCACTGCTGGAGCGGCGACAGCTCCTGCTGCAGCCGCTCACGTGCCTGCGAGCGGAATTAAAGTCAGTGGGGGGAAGAAAGTGGCAGTTGAGGAAATGATGTAGAGGAGATGAAGTAGCATAGCCTGATGTTACAGCCATGGCCTGTTCATGGCAGCAGCACTTTCGTCATCTGCATCCAAACCCAGTGAGAGAACTGCACCATCAGGGCACAGGATAGAAGAGAGTGCAAGCAGCATGCAACCCACATAGCCTGAACCTGAAGCTCATCACACCTGCTGCACGCAGCTTCGCAGCTGCTGTGTGATCCTCAGAGCTATCTTGACGCCATCCACCTCCTCCCTCTCGTCGTTCTGCAGTTGCGCATTCTTAAGCTCCTTCACCACCTCCTTCGCGCCCTCGCTCATCTCAACACCGTCCTCTTCGCCCTTCTTCCCCAGACCATCCCCTGCTTCTGCACCCTCCGCAATGCCACCAGCACCACCACTTGTGCCCGCCTTCCCCTCCCCATCACCACCCCACTCCTTCCCATGCTCCAGATTCTCTCCCTCTTGAGCCGCTGCCGCTGCAGTCGCTGCCACATCCTCTTCCTTTGACTCATCTCCAAACCCGTCTTCCTTTGAATCAACACCAGCAGTGCCATCTTCCAGAGTCGCACCATCATCACCAGCAGCAGCATCCCCCCCACTGTCACCACCCAGCATTGGAACCCGGTACCCTGTCAGCTTCTGCAGCGAAAACACAGGGACACATTGCTGTTCTTCGTTTTCACGCACAGCAGCAGCGGCACCTCCAGCAGCCTCAGGTGTAAACTCAACATCCACATGCATCAGGTTGGCTTTCCATTCCGTATCCGGGATGATCCGAGCCTCCCTGCGTCGGAGCACCACCCAGGGGTCATGCATGGTGCGCATGTGACGGGCCAGCATGGTGTAGAAGCCGTAGGGGGAGGGAGGTTCACGGTCCATCCTGAACATGTTCTTGAGATCCCGTTGCAGTTGCGGGGGAAGCGTGGAGACAAGCCGGTGGGGCAGCCGGCTTATTGGAGAGATGAGCTTCAGGAGGTTTGTGATAAGGTAGCAGAATAGTTTTTGTTCATGGTCACAGTCGACATTGGAGACAGCGAATGCGACGAGGATGAGGAGGCGGAGGAAGACTGAACCGTGCTCGGTTGGCGAAACACCGCTCTTGTTCAACCACCAGATAAGAGTGTCTGGCTCGAAGACAAGGAAACGGATGAGGATGTGGAGGAGCGGGTGGAGAATCGAGTCGTGGATTTGAGCCACAGTGTACGGGTTTTGGTTGAACGGCCATTTGAACATGTGTGTGCAGAGGTTGGAGTAGTGTTGGCCTTCCAGGTGGAGGGACGCGAGGGAGGTGGGGATGACGAGGTTTTCCAGATTGGTGATGGCTGCACACATGTGCACTGCTGCTCTTTCCGCCAGGTTGAGGAATACGGGGAAGGAAACGAAACCGTCCTTTACATCCCAGTAGCACCACTGCAAGCACCCAAATAGAAACAACACAGGGGCAGAGAGGGAGATAACTTAAGTTGGAAGGATTAGTATGATGCCTACAACACACAATGGATGCATGGAGCATGGAGCATGGAGCATGGGGCATGGAGCATGGAGCATGGAGCATGGAGCATGGAGCATGGAGCATGAAGCATGGAGCATGGAGCATGGAGCATGGAGCATGGGGCATGGGGCATGGGGCATGGGGCATGGGGGGGTATGGGGCATAGGGCATGGGGAACGGCACGTTGAGCATTGTAACACTGGCCGCAGAAAAATGGTGGCACTCACATCGTACACATAGTAGAGAGCCAGGCCCCAGTGGTGTAAAGCCACCGTTCCAGACAAGTGCGTGGGGAGATGGAGAGTAAGAGTCTGCGCTGCAAACTCCCACTGTGCACCCAGCAGCATGCGAGCGCACACATCCACTCTGGAAGGCGGCATGAGCGCAATGAGATCTTGGCACTCCCTGCGCATCCACCAGGGCCCTAGATACGGCAGCACTTGCATCAGCTGGGCGAACAGTCCTGGTGGTACCAGTGGGTCCATGAGTTCCTGCTGCTGCTGCTGCTGCTGCTCCTGCTCCTGCTGCTGCTGCTGCTCCTGCTGCTGCTGCAGTTGCTCCTCCTCCTCCTGCTCCTGCTGCTCCTGATTCTGCTCCTCCTCCTCCCCCTCCTGCTGCTGTTCCTCCTGCTGCTGTTCCTCCTGCTGCAGCCGTCGCTCCTCCTCCCTCTGCCGTTGCTCCTCTTCCCTTTGCCGTTGCTCCTCCTCCCTCTGCCGTTGCTCCTCTTCCTCCTGCCGCTGCTTCTGCTTCCGCCCTTCAACCACGCTTGTCTGAACACATGAGCAAGCCCACTTGCGCATCAACGTCCGCGCTCGCTCGTCCTCCCTCCACCTCGCCACCACAAATGCAACGGAGCGAGGAAGAGGGCTGGTGACAGGGAAGAGCAATGAGAGCAACCGCAAGATCACTCTCTCTTGTTGTTCCTTCCACAGCTCAACATCTCCTGCCAACTGCGCTATCCCCCCCTCCTCAGCCACCCCGCCTGCCCCTTGCACCTCGATGCTCTGCTCCCCTCCCTGCTGCTGTTTCTGCTCTTGCCTGCCCCCCCCACACAGGTCTATTGCGAACTGAAGCAGCGCGTGAACTTCCACCCAAAGCTCAAGCTGCAAGTGCAGCTCTCTCGCTCTCTTCTTATCACCCGCCTCCCCACTCCCAATCACCTGCCGCCCTCGGTCCCACACCGCACCTGCACCAGACCCCCACACTTGCTCCCTCCTACTGACCACACCTTTCTCCAGAGATCTTAAAGCCTGCTGCATCACACCCGCGCATTCCTTGACCATCTCACTCGCCTGCCTCGCCCAGTAGATAGCACCTGCCCTGGCTGCAGCCTCCCTTGCTACCTCCCCCCGCGTGCCCTGGTTCGGCAGGTGGTTCACTGCCGCTCGCACAGGGTTCAGCCAATGAGCAGACGACAGGCCGACAAGAAGGGATTGAGAAGAGGAGGAGGTGAAAGCGTGGGAGGCGGAGTGGGAAGAGGAGGAGGAGGGGGAGGAGACAGAGAGGAGGTGGAAGGTGGCTTCTAGCCAGGGCGCATCTGAGGGTAGCTCTCTGCGCCTCTGCAGTCGCTGCAGTGCTGCTACCATGGCTGCAACTCTCTCACTCCACCGCCCCCACCACACCTTCACCTCCCTCCATTCCGCCTCAAATAGCAACTCCTCCTGCTGCTCCTGCTGCTTCTCTTTCTGTACTTGCCCCTGCTGCTGCAACTGCTGCGGAGCTCCCTGGGTTACCACCTGCCATGCAGGTCGGAGAGGCACAGCTGGTGGTGCTGCTGCAGGTGATGCTCGAGAGGGCTGGTTGGCACCAGGCTTGACAGGAGAAGGGAGCATTGGGGCAGAGGGCGCAGCACCAGAGCGAGAAAGTGAGGAGCTCAAAGGCTGAGAGAGCAAAGCTTTAGCCCGTTGGATGCTCATCTGAAGGCCCTGCCAGCTCACCAGCACTTCAGCAGCAAGGCTCCTTGCACCCAGCTCCAACTCCTCTTCCTCCTCCTCCCCCTCCTCCTTTCCTTCCTCTGCTACCACCTCCCCTTCCCCTGCTTCTTTATCCGTCAGTACTGCAGACTCACCTTCCTGAGAGTTTTTCCCCATCGAACCCACCATACCAAGGAGCTCGTCTGCTCGGCAACGAACAAGCAGCTGCCACCATTTATCCATCTCTCTCCCACCCGCATCCACCTCTCTCCCACGCCCTTTTGCACCGCCCTGAGCGTGGAAATCCCGCAGCCACAGCAGCGTGACAGCCTCCAAGCCCTCCCTCTCATCCACCTCCCCACCTTCCCTCCCTAATACCCCACCCAGTCCTTGAACACCTGACTCGACTGCACTCTCCTCTCCTAGACCTTTCGCCCCCTTCCTCTGCTCTCTCGCTTTCCTCTCCCGCACCCACACAGCAACAGCTGTCTCCAGTCCATCCATACTCGAATCTACATTCCCATCCACCTTCTTTTCCACCCCCTCCTGCTGCTTCTCAAACTCCTCCTGCTTCCCCTCTCCCTCTCGAGCGTTTACCTTGCCTTTAAATTTCGTTTCCCTCTCATCCACCTCTGCCCTGGTCTCCCATGCATTTGGAACAACCTCTCCCTTTCCTGCTTTCACCTCCGCCTTCTTTCCCTCATCCTCCTTCCCCTTTCCCGCCTTTGACTCGTCTTTCTTGGTCTCCACCTTACGCTCTTGCTTCTCCTGCTTCTCCTGCTTCCGCTCCCGAACATTCAACGGCCATCCCTTGTTCCCGCTCGCCCACATGCTTGCGACACGAGCTGCACCCATCGCACACTCAAACGCCCGCCCCCATTTCTTCTGCCCGAGAAACATTCTCGCTGCCCCAACCATGTCGCCCTTCTTGAGCATCATCTCAGCTGCCCGCTGGAAATTCCCCTCAGCTACCTCAATCTGGAGCAGATCATCGAAAAAGTCTCGCCTCTCTAAGAACTGCCGTTTCTTTGCCAGCGACGGGAATTGATGCACAAACCTCAGCATCTCACCCTTGTTCTTCTTCCGATAGTAATACATCGCAGCCTGCTGCAGAAACTCTGCGTTCTTCCGCACAACGAGCCTCTCTCGCTGCTTCCACTTCTCCTCCTCCGCTTCCTCCTCCTGCTTCTGCTGCTGCAGCTGCTGCCCCTGCTGGTTCTGCTTTACTTTCACCGATCTCATTCCCTCTTCCACCTGCCCCTGCCACACTTGCAGCAGGGACACCCCGAGAGTGTATAAGCGATTCTGTGTGCACACGAGCAGCACCCTCTCTACCTCCCACACCTGTGCAAAGCACTGTGCTGCTTCCTCTGCCATTGCTGCCAACTCGTAGCACTCCCCTGCTTTCACCCACATGGAAGGCACACACCTGTCACGATAAACGTCACCTGGTAGGTGCCATGAAAGAGAGGACACAGGGAAATAAACATAGAAAGGGTTAAGAACAAGTAGAAATCAATCATCCTCATGTGCAAAAGTTAGTGGAAGCAGAGGGAGGAAATACGAAAGGCAACGAAGTGGAGAGGAGGGGAAAGAGAACAGGAAGCTCGGAATGCATTCTTACACATCTCCTCTGCAAACCCTCCTCTCAATCGCCCCTGCCATCTTCCTTCACGTCCCTTTCCCCCACCCCACCCATTCCACTCCACCATTCCGCACCTGCTTGCTTCATCTTGCCCGCACTGATCAAGCACCGGGCGGCATCCCTCGGCTTTTCCACCTTCAGGAACGCGTTTGCAGCGTCCTGGAACGTCTTGTTGGCTTTCTTGGGGTCCGTGCCCTGTAGCCTCTTGGCTGTCTGCTGCAGTAGTGCTGCCCGTGCCACTGCTGCACTATGCTCGTCCCCTGCTCGCTCGAAACTGAGCACTGCTGCTTCGAACTGGCCTGCGTTGAATAGCTGCAGGAGAAATGAAGGGCGGAATGGAGGCAGGGACAGAGGGGAGATGGGAGAGGGGAGAGGGAAGAGGGTAGAGGGGAGAGGGGAGAGGGTAGAGGGTAGAGGGGAGAGGGGAGAGGGGAGAGGGGAGAGGGGAGATGCTAAAGTGAAAGGGGGAAAATAAGCGGGGGAATACGGAGGAAATATGAGGGATGGGGAGGGGGGAGGGAACGAAAGGGAAATGTGTGTGAAGATATATATCTAGAAAAATTCCCCTGCCCAGCGTCTCCATATGTCTCTTAAGTCAGCTGGACTCAAACCTCACCTCAGTGCCCCTCTTATGCCACCCTTCCGGAGAGGACTCAGTGTGCATGGAAGTGAGGAGGTCAGGCGTGAGTGCTTTCACGGCCACCACGCCCATCGCCCCCCACAGGTCCATGGCCGGTCGCCTCGCCCCCTCATCCTCCTCGTATATCCACAGCCGCTGCCGCGCACGCGTTAGCACCACGTACAGCTGCTTCAGCTCGCTGCACAGGAGGTTGTGGCTGGGAGTAGACGAGGGAAGGGAAAGGCGAGTGGAGAGATGAGGTGAGTAAAGCATAGGTGCATAAAGACGCTGTGTTAGGACCACATACAGCTGCTTCAGCTCGCTGCACAGGAGGTTGTGCCTGGGTGGGGATGAGGGAAGGGCAAGGGAGTGGAGAGACGCTGTGAGGTAAGTGAGGTGCATAAAGATGTGGCAAAGAGTGGAGAAGAACAGGTGTGACAAAAATAGATCTGCGGTCAAACAGGGTACGTTGAAGCACCGAGGCACGCACCGCTTGGGGTCGAAGGAGGGGCACTGCCAGCGGCTGGACCCGTCCTCTGTGGAGGGAATGAGGGAGTGCTCGCGCATGTAGTGGTACAGCAGCCGCCAGCTCGACGCCATTGGTGAGCCCGAGAAGAAATTGTAGACCAGGGCGTCCTGGGGGGAGAGGAGGGGACAGAGGGAGTGAGGGGCTGTGTGGGAGGGGGAGAAGGAGAAATAGAATGGGGGATAAGAACAGATACCTGAGGAAGGTGCAGGAGGCAAGGTCCAGTGAAAGCTACGTTGTGAAAAAAGTCCTAACGAACCGAATAACAAGGGAACAACAGAGCAGGAATACCACGGGGTGCATTCCAGTATGGTGAAATGTCGGAATGGTGTACCTGGAACTCCAGCCCCTTGCACTCGTGCACGCTGAGCACGAGTCCCTTTGACCCAATCCGCTTCACCAGCTCCGTGCGGCTCTCTGCATCTCGCACCAAGATCACCTGATGCACACACGCCAGGAGGTCACGGAAAGGGCGGAAACAGGAGGGGGGAGAACATGTGATGGCTCAGTAACGAAAGGAATCAACTGAAACAATCCACCACTTGACCACACATTCAACTTCTCAGTACCTCCTCTCATCTCTCTCCCACTAGCTTTCTTCCTCTCTGTTAACCATCCTCCTTTCACTTTGTGAAACCCTACCTGCTCTGCTCCAAACTCGCACCCTCCGCCACCAATCGCGCCCTTCTTCCCAAACAGCTGCGTCACCACATCGTCTCCCTCTTTAGCATCCAGGAACACAGGCGCCTCCCCATCGATCAGACTGAACTCCGGGGCAAGGCGGTCGACAGCGTGGGGGAAGAAGTGCAGCAGCACACGCACCACACTATCTGCTAGTCGCACTATGCCGTTGTGTGCTCGGAAGTTCTGTGAGAGGAAGAACAGGTCCGGCATTTCTGTGCAGGACGATCGCTCCTGCGCTCCCCCGCCTGCCTTTGCTCCCATCTCCACACTGCTCTCCTCCGCTCTGTCCCTGTCTGAGCGGCCCTGTGCTGTCTCTGCTGTTGCTCCACCGCCCACCTCTTCGAGCATCCTCCTCCCCTTGCCAGATAGCTTCTGCTTGCCACGCGCTGCTGCTGCCCCTGCCCACCTCCCTTGCTTCTCCCGTACCCGCCCCTCCTCTGGCCCATTCTCCCCCTCCCCCACACCACCAGCACCAGTACCACCACTGCCACCACCACCACCTCCAACCGACTCAACTCCGCCCTCCACCCACTCCCTCCCTGCATCCCCCGCCCCATCCACCTTCTTCCCCAGAAACAGCTCATAGAACAACCTCCGGATGTCCTGAAACCGGAAGTCCACGCCCCTCGCGATCGTTTGCGCTGTATCCCCAGCAAAGACAAACCCATCAGAGGTGTTGGCGCAGAGGAAGCGCAAAATGGCGATCTGCGCCTGGGTCAGATCCTGCACCTCGTCCACATACACGTACTGGAACGGCGGACCAGATCGAACCTTGTCATCGCCACCACCACGAGAGACAATTAACCTGGTAGCAGCAGAGCCAGCAGCAGCTGCTGCAGCAGCAAGAGCAGCAGGCGTGCAGATCCTAGTTGCCCCTCTTGCCAGCTCCTTATACACATGATACACGTAATCACACAAGTCATGGTCCCCCCTCTGCCTCTTCATCCTCTCATACTGCAAGTATAGCCCATATATCACCTCCCTCTGCGCCTCGTCGAAGCTTGAAGTGCGGGAGTGCGCGAGGGCTACGTAAGCTTCTTGAGACAGGCGCCCCCGGGGGGATCTGAGGGCGTGCAGGGAGCCCTTGATGTGGGAGAAGAATTCCTTGTAGACCAGAGAGGCATCTAGCTTGCGAGTAACGGATGTGTTGAAGTGTGGCCAGTAGAGGGACTCAAAACGGTCGTAATCAACCTCTTCAGGCAGAGACAGCACACCAGCTCCACTGCCGCTGCTAGTGCCAGTGATGTTGTAACCATTATTGCTGCTGCTTGCTCCGCTCCTGCCTTGTGCCCTGTCCCTGTGCCGGTGCGACTGATGGTACCCTGGGCCCCACTCCTCTTCCTCGTCGTCCTCCTCCTCTTCCTCCTCATCTTCATCGTCATCACTTACTGAGAAATACTCGCTCCCATCATCGTCACTGCCATCGCCACCCTTTCCCCCAGCTCCCCCCTGAGCTTCATACTCCCCACTCTTCCACCCACCACCCGTCGTCCCCTTCCCGTGCCACCCACCAGCCTTCAACCCATCCTGCTGAAACGGCCGTGCCAGCGTGGCATTGACCATGCTCAGCAGCTTCTTGAAGGTCAGCACCAGGGGATATGCATCAGGCTGCACCTCGTCTAGAGACTCGGGCAAATCTCCCATTAGCTTCTCCTCTGCTTCTTCTGAGAGTAACAGCTCCTCCACCTCTCCTGCCTCCCGCTGCTGCTGTTGCTCCTGCTGCTGCGGTTCCCCCTGGTCTGTGGTGGGAGGTGCGGTGCTGGTAGGGATGACGGAGTCGGCTTCCAGCATGGTTCTGGTAGAGACAAGACACACGGAGGGAGGGATGCACACGTGGTTGAGAGTGAGCGAGTGTGAGTGAAACTGTGAGCGAGGTCATAAGAGGGAGGCGAGTGAGGGATGGAGAAACCAAGATCAAAACAGGAAGTTGGATGAGGAGCCGATGGGGGGGTGGGGGAAAACGAAATAGAAAACAGAGGGGTGGGGTCGGGGGAAATGGGGACGAAGGGAAGAGGCGACTACGGAGTGTGGAGATAGCAGCACAGCCCTTCAGGGCCACTCACCGTCTGACTTTGTGCACGTGGTGCCGAATCGCAGCACACAGCCTTGGGCTCAGAGTCACAATCACCTGCCTCAGCGTCCCCACACCCCCCCCCTCCCCACCCTCTCCCCCCTCCTCTCCACCCCCCTTCCCATCACCCAACCCCTCCGCCCTTCCTTTCCCACCCCCCCCACGCGCACCCTCCACCTCTCCTCCCCTGCCACTCCCCCTCCCAATCCCCACAGCAGGACCCAGCCGGCCCTGCTCCCCCATGGCTCGCAGAAACACCCGCTCCAGGCGCAACAACCGGTGGGTAATGATGGTGGTCTTGCCGGTGCCGGAGCGACCGAGCACGAAGAGGCTCCCCGGGTAGTGCACGATGAGCGCCTCCTGCTCGTTCACCTCGAAGGGCAGCTCGCCCTGCGCTGCTGTCAGCAGCTGCCGCGCGGACCCCAGAGACAGCTGGTAGAACTTCATTAGTAGCACGCTCTCGTCCACTGGCGCCCGCTCCAGGGCGCTCTCTGGTTGGCGAGATAGAGGGTGGGAAGGGAAGCGAGTGGGAGGGAAGGAGGGAAGGAGAACAAAAACCAACGAAAGCGAGTAAGTGGACACGGGGAAAGGGGAAGAGGGCAGCAGGAGGAACGAACCAATTCTCAGGATGAATCGAGAGGAAGAAACCAGTGCGACGGACAGAGAGTAAACCTCCTGCTGTAACCAGCACCTTTGCTCACTGGACGTTATAAGCCACCTGAACGAACCAATCATACCTTCTTCTGCGTTGGAAGCAGATGCTACATCGCGCGACGATGCCTTGGCCCTGTGCCACGTGAACCCTGGATCTTTTGGAAACTGCAGCGGCTGCACCTTGCGAGCGAGGCGGTCGTCACAGCAGGCACAGCGGTCCAGCGACTCATCGGAGTAGGTCCCCAGGCC